CCCGGCGGGATGTGTGAGAGAGTACATTGTAGCTCTCTTGTTAAAAATTGTAATCATCCATTGAGCTGAAGAGCAAGGTTCCTTGTTGATCTTTGAAAAGGTGTTAAAAAGAAAGTGTTGAGTCTGAAGGGGGTACAAGGAAAGAAACATACTTATCGGTATTAAAACATGTGCAACGATTAGCAGTCAATGCAAACTTGCAACTAATCCAATAATACATTTATAGGAAATATTATACCAGTATACAATTCAAAAATATGACCGTTGCATTTCGGCGACAAGTTTAGGATCAACATCCAGACAAAGCAGTGATTCAGTACAGGTTCACAGATTTAATACTACATTAAAGTGCAGGGATTTTATGCCAAAATGAAAGTACATACACTTACAGTACGTGCAGAAGTGCAGGCAAAGGAATCATGAGGCAGGCAAGGGTCAAAACAGGGAGCGCTCCAACAATAAAACAAACCCAGAGAGCACGGCTGGTGCAGGAACAGGCAACAGGTCACAGTTCAGGAACAGGTAGGCCAACCATGGGAGAAAAAAAGCAACAGCTACAGGTTCAAGCTAAGGTTTGGGTTCAGAGGGCTAGAATGCAAAGGCATGAACATCGGCAGCTTTAACAAACTGTGAAGGATTGAGTGGAAAGGGGCAGGTTAGATGTCGTCAGGACTGATGACATTTGAGGAGGGGGGTGAAAGGTCAGGTGGTCAGACTGGAGAAGAAGTCAAAGGGCATCTGGTGGAGAGGAGGAGAATGGCAATGAAATGGTTCGAAGGGGTGGGAATGTGCAGAGGCAAGGACAAAGCATGTGGTAATATCAGGGGATTACATAAGAAGTGAAATTAAGGATTGAATGATGCTGTATGATCATGTTTTAGTGTATCACAACAAATGTTCTCCTAGCAAGCTCATTGCCCATTAGATGTCTCTGATAAATCAGCTGATACAAAGTCACAGCAGCAGAAAATTTAATGTAAGAGTTTATCAATAATTCCTTTCAAATGATGTCCTGTAACGGTGCCTTTTTTCGCTCTGATTGCATAACATTGAAATGATTTACACTGTATCTCATCATTTAATATCTAATTGTGTTGAGGAAGAAAAACGTGTTGGATAGTGCACACTTCAAAATAATAAAAGTTTGATTTACTTTTTTATTTCTTTCCAATAAACTCTCGATCAAAATTGAAATTGTTTTTCTGAGCAATTCACCTCTTGAAGTTAGACATATCCATCACTGTGCTGAATCTATTTTTATCACCTTATTCTTTCCTTTTTTTCCTCTTTCCCATACCCCTGTGATTCTCTCCCAGACGGACTGCTCTGACCTCTGACTCAGAGGTTAACAACATCTATACAACTTCTGCAACTCCATCAGAACAGAAAACAACATTGACGTCATCAGACTGTCGCCTCACTGCTCTTGTCTTTTATTCCTTTCTATCCTCACCATCGTATAGTATTGTGTTCATTGTATAAATACAATTCCATTGGCTTTTTGCTTTGATGAATTGAATAAATTAGTTAAGACATGGTTTTTCCTTCCTTTGTTGTTTCCTTTCTTTAAATTGGGATGAAATCGTTGAAAAAGGGATGAAAACTGACATGACCTATACATTCACTTTACAAAGGTGGAGAATATTCACAATTCACAGTGATGGCTAAGAAAACAAATGCTGCAGGCAGCAAGGGAAGTTCATCAGAGTCAGACTTGGAAGGCACAGTTTGGTCTCTGCATCCAGGAAATGCTGACTGGGAATATTTTTGCACATATTAGGGAACCAGAAAAAGCAATTGCTTTGTCATTTTGCCTTTGCATTTTTCTGCATTTCTTTCGGCATATACCTGGTTGCTGTCTTGCTATATTGTTAGCCTCGGTGGCTTTTAGTGTCCATCAGTAATGTGAATATTGACGTTATCTAGCAGCGTTATACAGACCACTCGAACAGTATGTACAAATTGTTCCCAACATCCCATGTCATAACCAAAAATGAAGAATAGACTGTTTTTTTCATAATTTCGATTTCTGTATATGTATGTGGAACCACATTGCAATCTAACTGCCAGTGATTTTCATGCAACTTGTTCAATAATATAGGCTGTATTTTCATAAAGGTTAAAGGGAGTTGGTATGTTCTGGTCCTTGCATCCTGGAGAGTGATTATACTTGGACAGTGAGCTGTCATACAAGGTTCAGTGTTTTGGGCTTTCAGAAGAGGCAGAAGAATCTAACCAAGACAAAAAGAAAGAGATGTAGGCAGTGAGCCAGTTCCACAGCTTAGGGCTATTATGGGATGGCTAGACAGCACTAGAGAGGAGAGAACATTTTATTTAGGGCCATGTTATGGTTGTCCAAAGTGATTTCTCACAAACCACATCGTGCATTCAGCCTGCAAACCAGATATTCTTGATTGGCCATATTCAGCTCAACCGTTGGCTACCTCTCCGCCCTGCTGGGAAATGGGTTTGTTTTTTTCAAACTCTCTCCCTCTCTTTATTTTATTTATTTTTTGCCATCTCAATGGTCAGTGAATTCATTGTCTGTGTTACTTTCTGCTACTTCCTCAAATGCATTTTTAGGGATGCCATTTCCAATCAGTCCATGCTCTTTAGATTGTGTTTCAACTGATTTAGAAACCATTAAAAAAAAAAGGATGCTTCCGCTTCCGAGCATGTTGGTTGATGCTTTAATTAAGATGAAAGCATGGTGGTGAAATGCTTTCTCCAGTGCTGGTTGGTTGGGATTAATGATGATGGTTATTGCATCAGTTTTATTTAGTATTTTGATTGGCTGGTTCACAGATGTTTTGTGGCAACTAAGCACATGGTAGCATTTTGACAGTTCATTAAAATTAAAAGATCTTTGCTGCAGTAAGTCTTGGCAGGAGTTATAAATAAACTGTCTAAATCAACAAAGCCATTTGTGAGGACATTTATCATAGCTAACAGCGGACATATAATAATGACATTTGATGGATTTAGGTAAACTTTTCATATAAATTAATAACAAGACACGGAAATGAACCAAGCAATGTATTATATATTTAACTGTAATTTGTAATGTTACAACAGCAAGTTGTAATGTAGGTCTTATAAGAGATTACAATGTATTGACTAAAGGATGCTTTTTTTGTTTTGTGTAATGGTCTGGAGCACATAAACAAGAGGGATGCAGGGTGTGAAAAATAGTAAAAGAACACAAATATGTAGCAATGACAACATGGAGGAAAAAAAGGAATACTGGAAGGCAACTTTCTTTGATTCAACATATAATTATTTAACCCAAAGCTATGCTGAGGAGTTTGAAGACACACACATACACACACAAACACTCACATACATACACATCCAAAGGTGGCGTCATGTGCAAATAATGAGCCCAATCCTCAGGAGCTCTGGTTCACTGCCCTTTTTCTCCTGCCTTTCAAAAGGCCTTTCAGACGGCAAGAGAAAGGTCACCGCTGTTGATTTTAATGTTGAAATGCGGGTTGGAGAAAGAATAGAGGAATACTGAGGGAAATTCAGATGAGAAGTGAAACCACCACCTTTGAGATTGCATCAGATATAAGTTATGTCAGCTTCAAATGATTTCCCCCTCTATTTAAATACATTTAAATTAGTCCATTCACAGTTGATTCACATATATTAGATAACTTTTCCTTTATAATGATGTCTCATAATATACTGATTTAAACTATGATAGGATTTAAGACAGAGTTGAACATCACATTTATGCAAGTACTGGCGGTATTGAGTGTATACATACTGCCCCCTAGCGGTACATTTAAGAACTGCCGCTTTAGACCAATCCAATACAGATATTTTTTAGATGCACACACACACAAACACTCACACACACAAACAACTAAATACTATCCAAAACAAATATTGCAAGTGTATAAAACATACACATCTCAGAAGCAGTGTGCAGTATGATTAGGTTACATCTATATCTCAAAATAATCTCTATTTTTACTTGGAAAACATTTAGATTGTGCAATATTACACCATTTTTCTTGGGAATAGAGTGGAAACCACAAGAGCATAAAGAAACTAGCACACTTGCATATTCCTCATATTGTTATTCTGTACTGCTCTCGTCTTTATGGTTGTCTTAACAGCCTGCAGGAGCACCAGAGGCAGAATGAACGAGTTTCATAGAAGGCTTGCTGAGCAAAGCATGAAATATGTTATTTAAATGAGAGCAGCAGTTCCTTCTGAAGATGATACCTACATGAGATATTTTGTGCAGAATATTCACACATCATACGTAAGTGCTTATACAGCAACATATTTCGGTTTTAGAATAATGATCCTGTCACAGTCTGCTCCATCATTCACCAGTAGTTTTCCATTCACCTGTCTCACCTGTTAACCACACACACGTTTTTGCTTACTCTCTTTCTCTTCTACACCCATTAGTCACACTTCCAGTATTTAAACCCTCACCAGACACACACCCGTTACCAGATCGTACGTTGCCTAACTTGCCTTCATGCTAGTCTTTCACGCATTTGTTACCAGATTGCCTGCCCGGTTCCGACCCTGCCTGTCCCCGACCTGCCTGACCTGCCTGTTCCCTGAGCCTGCCTGTCCTTGGACGATCCTGCCTTGCCTGCTGTCTGACCCTGCCTATACCTACGTTGCCTGCCTCGCCTGTCCTCTGGTTCGCTGTCCTCTGGTTCGCTTGCCTGCACATCATCCGGCTGTTGTTCTGTTATCCCTCTGCTCTGGTATTACCAATAAAGTATATTACCAATACTCCTTGGTTTCTCGAGTGCTGCATTTGGGTCCTTCATCAGATTGTGACAGATCCACTATATAAGACTTATAAAAAAATCATTTTATGTCGTATTTTTTTCTTCTTGTTTCTCTTTGATTATTGCTATTAACTATTCAGCGTGTAACTTGTATCTTAAAAGCTTTTACTCTAGGCAGGGACATTGTATCATGCCAAATAAAACATGCAACACACGAACAGACGAGCAGCAAGCCGATTAGAATGTATTAACAATATTTATTCACTACAGGTTCCAGTGTTATTTTTCCTATTTCATGTCAACCCAACAGTAAGGACAAGATGTATTTTGTATACATATTTACAGGTTTGTTTTACTATTGGCAATATATCACATGTCATTATTTATCTATGTACACAACCCATGTGCCACCTTGTGTACCGCGTGCCTTCCTAAAGCCAAGGTAGAAGATGAGATGTTGTTTTAGTCTGGGTTAAAGCCTCAGTAGTTTCCTACTGATTGTGCTCTCTTTCCTCCATTGTTCCTGCAAACGGAGGACAGAGTTAGAATAAAATAATCTCAGTTTTGTTTTTCCAGCCAGACATTTTCTCTGGTAAGAACAAAGCCAGAGATTTTAGAAGAAGAGTTGTTTCTTTAAAGTTGTCAGGGGAAGGACACTAGGAGAGATGGCGAGTGAAAGATACACAGACAGGATATTTTATTCTGAAATCACTCAGACAAAAAGGAGGGGAGGTGATACCTGACCTTTTATCATTTTACCTGTTAAAGCCTTACTGTATTTATAAAGCAATGTATGTGTGTAAGTGTGTTCCAGACTGATTAAAGTATTGTAGCTCTGACACACAGCAGACAGCCTTAAGACATAACAAGAAAGAAAAAACACTTTGGATAAATGTGTCTGTAAGAACACTGAGCAGCAGGTGTATAGCTGTGGTCAGACCGGGGTCAAATGGAAGAAAAAAGAATACATGTGTGATTTGTGAGGCTGGTGCACATTGTAGCAACTGATAGAATAGTGGATGAATACAAATAATGCAGATATCAGACATCGAGCCATGTATATCATGACTATGGGGGAAATAAAACAGGAGAAGTTCAGGGTTCCATTTGCTTCAGGTTGCTGTTGATGGCAGGCCGACATCACGGACAAGAAATTGTGATGAAAACTGAGTGTCAACTGATACTCAGAAGGTCCATGTTGTGACTCCATAACACCTGGTTAGTATGTATTGCTCAAATTAACCAAACATGTGTTGGGAATAAAGAACATTTTGTTCATTTAGGCTTCCAAATCAAGTTTAATTTAGTTTCCAGTTTAATTAACTGAATGTTAGTGTACTATAACTCATATAGAAAGGGCACAAACATGACATTAAAGTCATCTGGACTAAATAATATAAATTAAAAAAGAAACATGTCTCCACCATTAATCAAGGGATTATATTTGTTAAAGCTGGAGCACTTTTGTAAATTATATTAGCACCTTGTGTTGTCTCAATATAAATGTCAATACAGCAGATTTAATTAATTAAAGACGCAAAGAGGAATTGCTTTGAAGAATAAAACACACTTTCCAATACTGCATGTACAAACAAATAATTACTGCATCATAGCTCAAAGCGAGTATCGTGCATTAAGGTAATGCACAATAAGAATTAGGATTAAGAATTTGGGAACACTGTAACAGTTGGTTGAGTTTTGGTTAAAATAAAAACAGCAGGTCAAAAACGCAGTGCTACTTTCTACCATCTACAGTATAGGTGTCTTCTATGTATAGCAAAATGTATGGCCATATGTGTCAACCCAAACTGTATTCAACTCGGGTCTTGTAATGAAATGGCAATACCTCGTTAAAAAAAATTATAAAAAAACATCCCTTCATTGCAACCATAACACTTATCATGAAATCCCAATTGTTGCCTAATTTAACAAAAAACTATTATTTCAAAGTTAAGACACATGAGTTGCAGATGTATATGTATAAGTCAGACATGAATGTATTTTCTTTGATTCACAATCTAGCCTACTGTTGTAGTTACAATATGTACAGTAGAAAACAAAAAGTGTTAGCCTTTGTCAAGAGGGGGGGGGGAAGGGGGGGACAATCACCTTTAAATATATATATCTGTCTCTTTATAAAGCATTTATGAAGTAAGACATCCTCTAATCTTCTCCAAGCAGCACTGATGTGACATGAACCAGTTTAGGACAAGAGCGAGAATGAACATAAACTATGACAATTATCCTTCTGCAGGTTTGATGTTAGATCAGGGGGACAGTAGCTTTCCGTTGTACACATCCAGTGTTTGTGCCATCTTCAAACATCACCAGCATGTTGTATGTGCATGTAAGTTGTGATATATGTTGTATGATTTAAAGCATAGCATTAGTAAGACTGAGTTATTGTTCATAAGACAGAAGTTTTGATATAAAGTTGTTCTGAAAAGTGCGTAAATGTAATTAAAATGTTTGCATTCAATGAATTGTGTATGTATGGCACCCAATAAAACCCATCTCCCTAAGCTTCTAAGGCCATTCTCCCCAACATTATTTCATGTTATATTTTTATCCTTTACGTTTGTCCCGACAGATTTGAAAACATTCACGTTCAATGCATACAGCAATCCCCATCATCACAAATATTTCTCTCAATTGAAATAATATAGACTTCATTGTTTATCCCGAAACAAGAGACACATGCATTAAGTGGGAATCCGAGCTCGCTTCTGTCTGACCATGCAGTATGGACACACTGAGATGAAAATGCCTTTTGTTGCTTTGAGTCTAAACGAAAACATAATCATCCCAATGATCCAACCCTGAAAAGGATCTGGGAATCCAAGTTCTGCAGGAAATTCCACTCCAGCTTTGTGAAAGAATCCAAGTGGTTGAAAAATAGTTCCCGCCACACCTGCAGATAAAATCCATTAAATGACGGGGTGATCAGATCCCATGTAGCGCTTTACTACAAAAGAAAGCGTCCCGTCCAACAAAGAATTGGCATTAACTGAACTCTGGACTGTAAAATCCCAGCTTGGTTTGAGAAACAGATGTCGAGACATACAGAAAAGACAACATTGTAAAGGGCAGCGGGCTGCTTTTGCCCATATTCTGTCTGTTTTTCATCAGTGGATGTAAGATCTCACAAACCAAATGCTCATTTAGTCTTGTTTTCAAAGCAGTTAAGCTAAGATGTTACACCAGCGAGCCTGCTCTGTTCTGGGCGGGCACCATGACAGGCACCGCCCCCATCCGCTCCAGGGTGGCCTGGCTCACTGCGTAGGAGTGTGTGTGCTGCCCGTGTGCGGACATCACCACCGGTTTTAGACTCACAGAGCCGTTGCTGCGCACCATGGTGGTAGGGGATGGGGCAGAGTTTGTGGTGACCACCAGAGTTTTTGGTGGGGGGAGCGTATGGCTGCCATTGGCAAACGATGTTGTCGTGTTGGGTGGTGCATGGCGGGACAGTGGAGCTGAGCCTGGTGCTGTGACCACTGTACTCTGGCTGTGTCCTGCGTTCTGGGCCTGACCGTGTGCATGTGCACCGTGAGCCGCAGTGGAGAAGGTCTGGCGAGTATCTCCATTGTAGCGTGTGTAGGAGTTGGTGTCGTAGTTGGGTTTGGGGTTGTGCCAGTAGCGGCTGTTGTAGGTGTTGGTGGACGTCAGCGTGTCGTTCTCTGAGGAGGAGGCGTCTGCATGGAAAGCCTTCGCTGATGATGACCTCTTGGGAGGAAGGTCATCTTCTCTGTTAAGAAGATATACGTAGGTTGTGAAGATATCAGTGATATTAGAAGTGATAGCATTAAGATAGCTAATTAGTTCATATTTAAATATTAACACAAATCCTGCTTTGGTGCATTACAAATAAAAAATGCTTCGCTATGTAGTCAAAAGTTCAATAAACTGAGAATCTCAATTTCACTTATTTATTTATTATTGCCTTGGGATCTTTTTGGACTCTTAAAACATATACAGTGATACACCTAATGTGTGTGGCACACGTGGCTTTAAGTCTACATATATAACATTTAGTCCAACACAGAATAAAACAAGTGCTGTTCTCTTTATTTCACCATAATATAACAATCTTTAAATCTATGCATTAAAGATATTAATCATTTAAATATACAGTGAATGTCTTTAAATTGAGTTATCAAAACACTGCTTTTAAGTTGCAGTTTATATAATCTATGCTAATACGAATGGGTTTTCTAAAGAGAGTACTTTTTGGTAGATAAAATGTCTCCAGATAATTTAGGCAGAGATTAAAGATATTCATTGTGATTTGCCATTAGTGGGGGCAATAAGAGCCGTCAGGATGGAATTTGCGCATGATTGCAGTTGAGCCCAAAATGAGGCAGATGTTATCCCAATCAGCCAAAGCCTCAGATATCTACAATTGCAGACCATTTAATCAACTGACAGAGCTTCACACACTGTTTGAACAGACAAATTAGCCTGGGATGATGGAAACGTTGGCTGTCAGAAGATAAAATGAAACTGAATTCTCCAAACTATGAATCCAATTAACTGGTCTGGGTGTTTTTTATGTTTAACTATCATCTGTGTGATTGCATGGGCTGACATAAATCGCTTTAGGAAACACAAAGCTGCAGCTGCATCTGATCGCCTTTTACAACATCAGAGGGGCCAAAAAATAAGCCGCAACAATCTAGAATACATATGCAAGTTATCAATCCCTGTTTGAGACACTGTATCAAATGCATCTATTAATACTGTTCTTTACCAACAGGAGACTTCAAAATATTTTCAAAAGACCGAAGCCACAAATAAAAGACAAACCTGATCTCATTTGGGATCTCCTCCTCGTCATATTTGTTCTTATTCTTCCAGTAGAAAAGCGTGACCGCCACTAACAGGCCACAGATGATGAGAGCTAGCACTCCTGTAGCGATGGTGCCTGCTATCAGGCCAACACTCTGAGGCTGGGCTGTGGGAGGAACAGAGAAACAGATTTGACCAATGTTTTCCAAAAACTTGACCGTAAGTTTGTTTTTAAGTCACCCAGGATAAGCCCTAGCAGTGGAGCTCAATGGGTTGTAGGAACTTGAAAATACAATTAGTTATTTGTGGTGTGTTGTGAGGATGTAAATATAATGTGTTGATTTTGCAAGACAATCAAAGGAGGAGCTGTTGTTTCTTTCTCTCTAAAAACAGTGTCAGAAATTCAGTGCTTATTTGCATGTTATTTCAATTGTTTTTGAACGTAAAGTGGAAACAGCAATGGCACCGAAGCGTTTTGAGTAACATATATTCTTCCCGAGCATTTACATCTGCACCATGTTGGCATGACTCATTCCACTGTAGTCTCTGACAGATCAGCACACTGCTGTCTATCTGCCTTTATTCCTGTGACACTGAGCCTCCTGTCACACACTGTCAGATAAAAAAAAACAACAACTGCGTAACCATGCTACAGCTTTCTGTCAAGCCATCAAAACTGTTTGACCCCATGTGACCTGAAAACAAACTCTCTGTCTGCAAGATGCTCTGCTGTCCTTTGTTTGGTTGATGTGTTGGTTGCTTGTGTATCTCTCTGTCTGACAGGTGTCACTCAAGGAAAATATTTCTAAAGCCGCTTGTGTCAGAGTTTGAGTGAGACAAGGTTTTTTCCAGTTATAAATGTGTATCCCTTAACAAACGTGTCAAAGTGTCATGAGCGTAACAGTGTCACATGGAACAGTTAAGGAGCAGTGTGTTTACTTACGCGCTATGACCTGCAGGTTGAGCAGACACGTGCTCTTGCCAATAGCATTGCTGGATGTACACTGGTAGAGTCCTGAGGTGCTGGTGCTGATGTTTCTCAGTGTTACAGAGCCCTGCATCTGGTCTGATGTACACACACACAGACAGAGTAACAAAAGTGACTTAATCAAATATTTATAGCAAAGTTCCAAAGCATACAAATAAACCCAATGATTATTAAAGAAAAACTAAACATAAGGAATGCAAATCAACATTAAAGTTAATTTGAAATGACTAAATAATAGTTTAAAAGACTATGATAATACATTCAATTGAACTACTTCTGCTACCTACCAATAGATGGTGCTATATATCCTAAATATGAGGTTCGCAATTGAAGTAAACTGCCTTCATTTAAAAGGAAAGCTGCTGGTTCCTTTCTTTTACAATTGATAAATGGGTAAAGTCCAAAGTACAGAAGGAGCCTCACACTACGGGTTCATCTGTTCTCTACATAATAGCAGTACATCTTTCTGTGTCAAACTGAACACACAGAGAAAGAGTACAACTGACAAATGTAGGATCTAATTTCAATTCAAAAAATCAAAATTCAAACACCAGAAGAAGACAGAATCAAAACAAATAAGTGAGGTAGTTGAGGGCTCTCTCACAGAATAAATTAGAGGATATAAGTTAGTTTTAAGTTTTAAAATGCAAATTTGATATTCATTTCCTCATATAGTTTAAATGTAAGTATCTTGAAGAAAGTTATCTCTAATGGTAGATATGTATTATGGACCTTTAGTTAATATACACAGTTTAAGACACTTTATTTATTTAGTCATTTCCAATGTTTGTCCACAATAGTTGTACAAGAAAAAAAACACGGAATTCTGCTATAGAATCTGATATTTGCAAATAATGTTACAGTTTGTATGTTACTTCTATTAAGCAGTAGTACATAGAAAAAGACGGTGACTGATGATGAAGATCATTTGGCTGGAAAAGAAAGGAGAGTCGACTACACCAGTGCTCTCTGATGCTGAACCAAACCCAACTCAGAAAGAGAGAGTTGCTCTTCAGCATGAGAGAATCAGGCAAAACATCACAGATTATCCGGGTTAATTGCACAAACACACTCCTGACACACTCATTCACAAATTCACATGGTTTGAATCACTCCATCCATCATCACCCCTCAGCAGGATCAGTGGGTTCAGGCCTGGCACATGACAGGTGGCGGTGATGGTGGGATTGTGGCTGAGGCTGAGCCACGCTATGTGTGTGAGATTTACCAGCAAAGGTGGGGCAAAAGGGAACTCCGACGACCAGCCTGTTTGTAATACCTTGCATGGCGTTGTGCGGCAGCTTGGGCAGCGCGTCCAGCTTCTCCCAGGAGTAGGACGGCGTGGGAATACCTTCCTCGGAGCTGCACATCAGCATGATGTCGTTGCCTACATCCAGAGTGCCCTGGATACGACATGCTGGCACCGAGGGTGGCACTGGCAGATGGAGACAGTGGGTGGCGTTGTGTTAACCACTTTGCAAAGCAAATATAATGTTTTCCTGACTGTCGAATATTCAAAATGGTATATTCAAGAGCTGAAGAATCATCAATTCAAGAGTGCTTGCATGCTTTTTAACAGCAAGTTGCATCGAATGCCTGTCTAAAAATGTTATCTTGGTTGCTTACAAATTGAAGAGCTGTACCTTTGGCAAAACAAGCTTTCATGTTAAAAACCAAGCCAATAAAATACTTATTAGCATTAGTTCTCATAAACCTGACATAGAAAATGTTAATTATTCTCTTCATGGTCTCAGTCAATGCAGTGACCAACACGTTATGACATTTTGTTGAAATAGACACATCTTTAAACCTGCTTATATCTGAAATTAGAGACTTTTTTGTCTTTTTTTCACATTTAATAAAGAAAAAGTAAGTAAGCAAGTTACCCAAAACAGTGAGCCCAATGACGCCGATGTTGCGCCCCCCTCTGTCTGGGAGGTTGTTGACCAGGCACTGGTAGGTCCCAGTGTCCGACAGCTGGGTGTTGTTGATGAAGATCGAGGCACTTGTACTTGGCATGGTGGCCGAGAAGCCCACACGCCCAATGAGGTGGTTGGCGAGGCTGAACACCTGGCCGCCCTGGTAAATGATCACCTGGATTGAGATGTCATGGGAGGGGATGGAAGAGGGACAGAGAAAGTAATGGAAAATGATAGAGTTGGTCAAAATTGAAAAGTAAATGGTAAGGGTTGGAAAGCAGAAAGTGACATTGGTGACATGAGTTCAGCGAGAAATGAGGGGGAAGAGAACAGAGAAACAAATATTATGAAATAGCAATTCAGAGATGTGTAATACGAATAACAAAAGATAACATAATCTGCTGCTGTATTCAAAAGAAATGTAGAGAATAATACCCAACTCAATGCATTTGGTCATTTTCAGTAAACTTTATGAATGTGCATCTTGAACATGTACTGTAGTGGCCTGTTACTGTCTTTCACTAGAGGGAGCCCAAGTTCCACTATGAGGCTGAACAACGGACAGAGAAAGTTAAGGAGCAAACGGACTTTGCTCTTAGATACAAACAAACAAACATACAGACAGACACGGAGAAAAACCTTTTATTTGTAAGTGGTTGTCTCTAGCTCACCGAGTAAATGTCAGAGTAAGAAGTACGTACTAAAAATATGCTTTTATGGTACCATAACGCTCAGATAAAAGCATCCACTAAATGGGATGCATAATTGAAAACATTTCAACTTGGAAACATATAAACTGCAATCAGATGAATGCAGAAGTAGCAATGCAGAAAGGTTTGCGCACAATGTATGACAACCTGCAAGTAATTAAAACATAAATTTGACCTTCACAGTAATAAAAACACTTTTATGGATGAGGTAAGCTTGTCAGGTCTACAGCAACTAAGGATCAATTTGTTCAAAAGCTTTTCTCAGGCCTTTAAACGTGGTCTGAACAGTTTGGTTGTGAGGCCGAGCCACATGCAAATAAGCTCTCACCCCTCAGCTGGGCTCACACAAAAGATGAAGAGGACCCACGCAAACACATGGTATGTGCACACAAGTCTGGCACTCACACACACACGCACACTAAGTCACACACGGACACGCACACACACGTACACAAAGCATGGAGGGGAATCAGAGCGGCTATTCACTTTGGTGAAAAGAGCCCTCATTGAACTGTTCAAAGAACCAAGCAGGGAAACAACCGGCACCAGTGTGTGTTTGTGTGTGTGTGTGTGTGTGTGTGTGTGTGTGTGTGTGTGTGTGTGTGTGTGTGTGTGTGTGTGTGTGTGTGTGTGTGTGTGTGTGTGTGTGTGTGTGTGTGTGTGTGTGTGTGTGTGTGTGTTGTGTAGTAGTACGTACGTAACGTAACGTAACGTAACGTAAC